ATTGCCACTTGGTATTGCCAATTTGCAGTGACGAAACTCATTTAGGACCATTGTCCTATTCTTATCTCCTAAAGAGAGCATGGAAGACCCCTTTTCAATCCTAGTTAAATCGACTCTTGTGACGTTTGTTTTAGAGGATTTCAACATCTTAATCAGTGGGCTTGGAACATATTTGATCCAAATTCTGGCAATTGAAAGATTAAGAATGGAGAAACCAGTGGCATAGATAGGGAAAAAAATGTTTATTTTTATTTGAATCTATATTTTTTGTTGTTGGTCTTTTTCAAGGCCAATGTGTTGAGAAAATGGTAGTTTTGAATATTTATGAGTAGTCTTTTATGACAGATGACTAGTACTCTATAGGGTAACACTTTTAGTTCACGGTTGAGAATGGGGAAGAGGCACACTATCTCAAATTTATTCTAAATTTCCAATTATAAATTGATAGTAATGACAGAGAATTTTGATGAGATTGGTAGTCTACAAAAAAAAAAAAAAAAAAAAAAACACTAATTTCGGAGTTATGTTGTTCACTAGGTTCATATGTTATCTTCTATCATTATGAAAAAATCCTCATGTTTTCATGTTTTGTCCTAACTTACGTTTAACTGCAGGCTATAACAGCTATAGGTCAGAATGAAGGAGTTAAAGGTTACTGGAAAGGCAACCTCCCTCAGGTATTTGTTCTAAAATTACCTGCTGGTTCTTGGTGGTGTAAAATTTGACTTTCTTCTGCTGTACTGATGAAGATATTGAGTCATGATTTTGTCATAGTTCCTTTTCGAATATTTCAGGTCATACGAGTTATACCTTATAGCGCTGTCCAGCTTTTTTCTTATGAAATGTACAAGGTATGTCCTACACTAAAAGGAAGCTTTAAATGTTGCATAACACCCACTTCGTTACATTTGGTTCTTATGCGCTTTCTAATTTCTGAACTGACAGAAACTCTTTAAGGGGGAAGATGTTGAGCTATCTGTGCGTGGAAGACTTGCTGCAGGTGCTTGTGCTGGCATGACATCTACTTTTGTAAGAAATGCCCCACAATTATGCTCTGCTTTTGTATTTTCGGACATCAGTAATATCCTTCACGTTGATATCCATGCATTCCAAAAAAAAATCAATGCCTATGTTCTGGTAATACATATAAAATGAAGGGAAAATCAATTTATACTCCTAAATTTTGCATGTTGAACAATTAAAATTCTAAACTATTAAATATAATTGTATCCATTAAATCCTTAAAATTAGATTTATCATTTTTTTATTGATAAAAAAAATACTATTTATAACTATTTTCACTTGATTCCATTTAAAATTAACTCAAAAAATGCCTAAATAAAAATATTTTTCCCCAAAAGCCTGTGATGGTAGGAAGAAAAGTTAGCATGTAATTCTTCCTAAATAAGTAGAGAAAAAATGAGAAGATGAAAAATTGCTCATATTAATAAAAACCGCTACTACCAATTTGGATAACATTTTCCTCTAATATTATGTTAATCTTTGTCAAAAGTTTACACACATGTGGAGATTAGCATTAACAGTTTTAAAATGAAATGAAATCGTAATAAAAGGTCTAAAGTTAATTAACTTATGAAAGTTTAGGGTTTTAATTGATATAATTATTAGATAAGAATTTTAATTAGTTCAACCTACGGAGTTAAAAATAGATTTATTTATCTTCTCCATTTTGTTATCTCATTCATTGTGATATATCATTACAATTTTTCTAGATGGTGCTATTTGTTTTCTTGTAGATTACATACCCACTAGATGTACTAAGATTACGGTTGGCAGTTGAACCAGGTTATCGAACTATGTCTGAGGTAAACTAACCTGTTCCAATTATTAGAGTTAAATTCCATATCAAGATGAAAACTGTATCATTTTCAGGTTGCCTTGAATATGCTAAAAGAGGAAGGCATTGCATCATTCTACTATGGTCTTGGACCTTCCCTTATTAGCATAGCTCCTTACATTGCTGTAAACTTCTGCATGTTTGACTTGTGAGTTCATCGGAGCTTCCTTATGTACCATTGCATGGAATTTAAGACCTGATATAAATAGTTCTTTTTTTTTTTTTTTTTTTTTTTTTTTACATACAGATTGAAGAAATCTTTACCTGAGAATGTTCAAAAGAGACCTCAAACATCTCTACTAAGTGCCTTGATATCAGCTTCCTGTGCTACACTAACGTGTTATCCTTTGGACACTGTGAGAAGACAGATGCAAATGAGGGGCACACCTTACAAGACAGTTTTGGAAGCGCTCTCAGGTAATGGAATGGGCATTAGTTAAATGGAAGGCAGGAATAAAACTTATCTTTTAAAGCTTTGCATAGACATTGATTTGTTAATATAAAGAGTTGAAATTTGGTGGAAAGAATCATCTTGGTTGACATCTCTGATGCAGGTATCATTGAACAAGATGGAGTCGTTGGCTTGTACAGGGGTTTTGTTGCAAATGCTTTGAAAACCCTTCCAGCCAGTAGGTTGGCATTCTCTCCTATTGTATACTTATAAATGCTTCCACCGCTCCATATAAGGATGTTTATACCCAGTATGCATTTTATTGTCTCCCTTGAATTGAACGTGCAGTATGCACTCACAATAAATTTTTGCCATGAATTTTAAACTTCTATTTTCTTCGTGATTTTGATATTTGAAAGTTCAGAGTATTTATTTGATATTGTTTTTTGTTTCTGAGAATGGGAAGTCCATGTTATGAGGATTTAATCTGTTGAATGACATAATTTCTATTCAAGGGATAATGGTTCCATGATGTATAATCCACCACTGATTTGCTCCATGCCAAAGTCAGGCATGGATCTAGGGGCCTTGTTTTTAAAGCTTGCTTGTAGCCCATTTGAACCGAGGTTTTGAGAACTGATTACCATTGATGATCAATACTAATATGATTCCCTCTCCTTTTCTTTCTTTCTTTCTTCTTTATTATTGTTATTATTATTAATTTTTTGGGAGTGATTAAGCTTTTTTACTGGCGTTACCATCACATGCAGCTATGAGCTAGTAAACCTTTACTTCCCTTGATGGTCATATACACCTATGCAACTTGATTGAATTAATTTCTCGTTTGTAATTGTCCGTCTGTATGTACTGTCCAAGCTATTGATTCTTTACTTCATTTCTTATGCTGCAGCATCAGGCTTACGGTGTTCGACTATCTCAAGGGTCTCATAGCTATCAGTAAAAAGGAGTTCGAGCAAATAGTTGAAGATAATCGCGAGAAGAAAGCCCAAACAAGTAATTGAACGATCCTGAAGTTTGTCTCAGTTTAGTGTCTGTAGTCGTTTACTGCATATCCAATTTTTTGAGAGAAATGCGTCTCTAGGAAAAGCTAATATTTTTGGTGTATGCTAAAGGATTAGGCTAGAAATTTTTGAGATACTAGTATCTGTTCTTGAGCTGTGTTCTTTAATTGTAACTTGTTTTAATTTAGTTTCCCAAGTTTGGCCTGCGTTCCAACATATGGTTTAGTTTTAGATGTCTTCAATGATAAAGTACATCATGTTCTACTAAGCATTCATTTCTGCATCTATGAGATGAAATTTGAGAAGCTGGAAATCCTATTCTCCAAGAACTTTTCATAGGCCTGATCTTTTCTTTTGACTGCTGGAGTCTGAGAAACTCGTGGCTTTCGACTTAGACTGACCTGTTCTCGAGTTGAGTATAGTTTTAAACGAAAATGTTTGGAATAGCAAGTTCAGTGTTGCCTTGTGTTGAAGTTCCATACTTGAGGCTATGTGCAGATATAATCCTAAAATGAAGGAGTTTGTGGTGTTAAATCACCTCTACAATGCAGGAAATCATGTTTCTTGCCATTGTTTTTCAAAAGAATGTGTGGTTTTGGGTTCTTTATGCAGGTGCATAGTCAATTGAGAGAAGCCATATTGAACTTTTTAGAGCATTTTGGGTCGGTTTGGTTTAGTTTGAACTTTTTTTTTAATAAAAGTGACCACCACCATCGCCGTAGTAGCCCATCTCCGCCTGGCGACCACTCCAACAACCACCGTCGAATATGGCGGGTTAGTCATATTATAACAGCTTAAATTCACCATTAGCAAATATCGTTTTTTTTTTAGTTTTTTCTTTCAGACTTCCCTTCAAGATTTTTAAAATGCATATGCTAGAGAGAGGTTTCTACCCCCTTAACAAGAATGCATATGTTAGAGAGAGGTCTCACAATCTACCCCTTTGTGGCTTAGTGTCTTCGCTGGCACTCGTTCTTCTCTCTAATCGATATGAGATATCACAATTCAGCTTCTTTGTGTAAGTTTATATATATATATATATATTTTATTTATCAGATTGCTTAATTGAAAATGCTGTTTTAAAAACGCTTAAATTAAAGATAATCAAAACAGGCCTTAATCAACTTCTTTAGTTTAATGAGAGAATCCAAAATTCCAAGAACAGCACCTCCCTTAGATCGGAGCAGGATCTTTGTTGAACTTTTGATGACGAAAGAGAAGGAATAAAATAATTATTTGGCAATATATCTTTTCAATTATTTATTTGTAATTTTTACATTATATTTATTTATTCCCAAATTTTGAATTTAAAACGGTAAGAAAGTCTTCAAATCAATTCCAATGTCAAGTTATATTTATTGTCACATCGTTCTATTCTTGACTTGATATTTCAATCTTTTTTTGTCTTGGTCTTTGTAATTGATCTTTTGAGTACAATGAACATCCGCATGACAAAACAACTGGATATATTTGGCTACAATAATTTATTTTTATTTCTATTTTATGAATAGTTAGTTTAAAACAATTAATTAATAGATATATTCAATTTACTTTTAGAAAATAGTGTTATTAAAAAATCATTTTATAGAGAGAGATTGGGCCGTAAAGTGGAAATCTATGAGCCCATTATATCATTTGGGCTATGTTGCTGTCCAATTAGGAGATGGGCCATAGGCCCGGAGAAATAGGATAGAGAGGTCGTCTTCCTCAATGGCCGCGCGGCAAATGACCAACCAGACAACCACCAACAGAATCTCTCTGCCACAGTGCAATCGTTTGTTTGTAGTTTACGCCTACGGAGTTGAAGAAAGAAGCTCTATCACGTCGCTTGCCTTCTGAAAGCGCTTTCTCTCCGCATGTCTAGCGCTGTGCAGCTCTCATTTCCTACTTGTGCGTTTGAACCTTCGAGTTTGATTCACAGTGGAAGACTGCGAAGTCGTAGTCAGATTTTCTGTAACCAAACTGACTTTCGTGGTGGAGGAAACGATGAAAAGAACGGCGTTGATTGTGGCAGGTACGAGATTTTTCTTTTGCATTCTTCCGTTTTGTTATCTTGTAAACTGGTGGATTTCATGGATGAAAAAATGTGGAACATAGTTTTGTATTTGATCTATCTTTGCTTCCTGAAATGTCTTTACGTCTTGATCAATTTCCTTCTTTACTGAGCGGAAAATGTCCGAGATGATATGTCTTGCTATCTAAGTGGCGAAAGAAAATATCAATTTAGAGGAAGCGGTTTTTTGTTACTCTGACAGTGATAATGCTACCAGTAATATTCCATCTGATTGTATTATTTTTATTTTCATCTTGTTGCAGAGGACACAGCCAGCGGCGAGTAATCTTAGTCGAGAAATACGGAAACAGCGCTGTGAAGAAGTCGGTGATATTTGCCTTAGAATGCACTTTTTGTGTATCTGTTTATCTAATTCCTAAAAATATTTTTAGTAGAGATAATATATTCACATTCCTATTGCTATGGTTTTGTACTTCTGTTAATATCACTCTATTGAGGCAATCTATATGTTAGATTCATTTCATATGAATTAAAAACTACGCCATTAGCTTTCTGAGGATAGAGGTTCGAGTTTCTTTCAGGATAAAGCTGATAGTTGAGAGTTACTTACTGCCGGAAGAAGGAATAATAGAGATAATTAATGATCTTGTAAACGTAATCAGCATTGTTTATATACTTTGAGAACTGCATCGTTTTCTACTTCCAAGAGCTTCAACAAGATTTTCAATTCGGGAAATTTTGATTCCATGAACAGGTATTGTCTAGATGATAACCTACAGTTGCAAACTTTTCTTGACGAACAAACATCTTCGACATCCAAGGGGTTCGAAGGATCTCAATTTTCAGAAACAAAATTATCCTGGCTTCCAGATGTGATAAAAGATTTTATCTTACCTTCGGGATTCCCAGGTACCTATAATGCGTAGATTCTTTTCCTTTCTCACTTAATAATTTCTTCGTTCAACTTTTTTGTTAATTGATGTTTCCAAGCCAGAATATTTGGTTTCTACGTCGATTCATTCAATTAGATGTATTCCGTTTTTCTAATTGGGTTATTTTCTCTTTTAACCTTCTTTGTTTCTATATCACGTACATCAATCTAGCAAAGATTAGAATTATCAGTTTGCTCAATCCCTCTGGAGTCCGTGGATGAGATTGTTTGATGTTTGTGGAGCTAGGAATAGAGATGGTAGATCTATGATGGAGGAGGTGCTTCCAAATCAGCATTTTTGGGAGAAGGGTTAAGTGTTGTTCTTGAGTTTCTTTGTCATTTTGTGGTGCATTTGGCTTGAGAGGAACAAAATAATCTTTTGAGAGAAGGAGGTGTGGGAGTCGGCTAGATTTATTGCCTCCGTGTGAGTGTTGGTCGCTAGGCCGTTCTGTAATTATGAGATTGATCTTGTTTGTTTTTCCTTTTTTTTTTTGGATTGTAGTTTCTGTAGTTATGGTTTGGACTCCGATTTGGTTGGGGCTTGGTTTTTGTATATCCTTGTATTTTCATTCATTTCTCTCCATAAAAGTACGGTTTCTTACCTAATAAAGTAATAAAATAAGAACAATAAATTTTCCTCTTTATCCGTCTCTGGATTCCCACCAATTAGGAAAGGAACTCTAAACTCTCCATCTTTTGCATTAATCTAGATATTTTAAAATCTCTTCATTTCTGTACATATTATTCAAATCAAGGCTGCAACAATACCGACCCACTAGATTTTAGTCTTCCTAGTTACATCATGTGGCCGATGAACATTTGGGATGGGTAAATATCACTGACCTAAGAGACTATGAGCATATGATTAACAAATGTAATATCTCAAAAAAAAATTCCGGCAGTATTTCGTTATACCTGCTCTCTTACAATTATATTGTTTTCATTGCAGAATCAGTGTCTGACGATTACTTGCAGTACATAATACTGCAGTTCCCCACTAATGTTACTGGATGGATCTGCCATACGTTGGTCACATCCAGTCTACTAAAGGTAGATAATTAAGAAACTAGAATTCAACTTAATTGATAAATATTGCTAAAAGTACAGTTTCATTCTATTATAGTGGCTCTCTTAGCAAGAAGGAAAAGAAAAGGTCCTTAACAGTATTTATTCCACTCTTTTATTGACTATTTGCAGGCAGTTGGTATAGGCTCCTTCTCTGGAACTACTGCAGCTGCATCTGCTGCTGCCATCAGGTTTCTAAGTTTTCCCATAACATTTCTTTAGGCATCCTCCGTGAGCAATTTGTCTTTGAACTTTGTCTATGTAATAATGGACGCTTTGCACAATCTTTTGGCATGTATTGTACCCTATGTAATCATTGGTTTATTGTTTAAAAAAAAAATCAAACTATTGTATGCCACTATAGTCTTGTAATATGCTCTAATGTACGTTATTTTATTGACTACGCAGATGGGTCTCCAAGGATGGCATTGGAGCTGTTGGGCGCTTATTCATTGGTCTGGAATCATAAAGAGATCTAAAAATATGGAAGGTTATATTGAATTTTTCAGTGAGTGTTGCCATCCTTTCCAGGTGGACGGTTTGGTAATCTTTTTGATGATGATCCAAAACAATGGCGCATGTACGCAGACTTGATTGGTAGTGGGGGAAGGTGCCATTTTCCAAGCTCTATTTGACAACGGAATTGTTGATTTACTATTAAAATTGTAAAACCTTCAATTGTAATTGCCTGTGATGCACAGCATCTTTGATCTTGCTACTCCACTGTATCCAAGCTATTTTCTACCATTGGCTTCTCTTGGAAATCTTATCAAGGTATTTTACAGTGCTAGTGGTGTTTCTGTTTTATGATTGCAAATTATGTAGAAAATCATAAAAAGACCATGTTGTTGATAATTATGCATTTATCATTAGTTTCTTAAACTGAAGGAAACTTCTTGATGATTGGAGTTTGAAACATCTGCCAACAGTAATAATTGGTGTCCATTCTGATTCTGAAACTATGTAGGCTGTTGCGAGAGGACTGAAAGATCCTTCATTTCGAGTTATTCAAAGCCATTTTGCAATTTCAGGAAATTTGGGAGAAATAGCAGCAAAGGTATACACTAATCCTTTCTAATGTCTTCATCATGCAAAATTCATATCTGAATATTATGTTATACATAAACTGCATATTTTTGCTATCGAAATAATTTAGGATGCAAAAGTCTTCACATTTTATCTATACATCTATACAAAGAGGCACAAGGAGGCATTCGACATCTCAGTCATGGAATCCTAAATTTAAACATCCGGTTTTCATTGTTATAAAGTTTGCTAAGGATGTAACAGAAGGTATAGAGACTAGGGAAGTAGTGGATGAGATTTTCTCAGGACATATTTGGCAGTCCAATTAGGAAAAGCATAAACTGTATAATTCAAAGATCACTCACATTAGTCAACTTCCTGATTCCTGGCATATTATAATTACAAGGAATGGAATTAGGAATAGAGATGTTCCATATTATTTTCAGATATTCTTCCCAAAGTTTTGCTACTCATTCCTTACTTCAATGTATCAGGAAGAAGTTTGGGAAGTAGTTGCCCAGCTGCTCGGTCTCGCCCTTGGCATCCTAATCTTGGTATGTCTTGTAAAAAATTGTACCTTTCAGAATGTAATCTCATTCGAAACCAACGACTGCATGATTTTCTGAACTAATTGGCTTTCTTGTTGTCTACTTAGGATACACCAGGACTTGTAAATTCACATTCAGTGTTATCATTGACATGGTTAAGCATGCGACTTCTGCATCTTTGGTTTCGATACCAATCACTTGCTGTCTTGCATTTTAACACCGTAAGGGCATGGCAAGAGTCATTGTATATTGTGTACATACAGAAATGTACTCGTTAGGTTTCGTTTCTGGTTTGGGAAGTATATGGGAACAAAATTATTCTCCTGATACATTGAAGTGTATCTCAGTACTAAGTTATTATTTTATTTTACTAACAGATAAATTTGAAGCGTGCTCGTATTCTAGTAAGGGCTCACATTTTGCACAACAAAGTTCCAGGTAATTGATATTCAGGCTGTCAGTGTTGTCTAAGAGAAATTTTGAGACATGATTTGCATAAATTGACCAAGTGTTTAATTAAAGATAAGAATGAGGAAATTGCTGAAACTAACCTGAAAAGAGAAAACTCTATAAAAGAAATTACCTGGTTTTTCAAAAATGGTTTTTCTTCTCTTTTTCAGTGGTGAAATTTCCCTTTTGCCCTTGTTTTTAAAATAACATAAAACGTCAGACTTCAGACTTTCTCTACTCTCTGTCTTTCTCTCAAATGTTTCAGCAACTGTTCTTGCTTTCTACCAGTTTCAACCATTCTTCGTTGTTTCTTTGCTTCTCCATCTTCGATTGAAGGTATGTTCATATTGTCGACTCCATTTCTAAAATTTAGGAGGGTTTAGAAAACTAGGGTTGTTAGTCAAACCAACATGAATCGTCTCCGAATTTGTTTGTTGTCTAATAAATGGGGAAGTTGTCAAATTTTGTTTATCTGTATATATAAGTGGTTTTTGTCATTGTTTGAGCAATGGATTAGCCATGTTTTTATTTTTGTTGTATTTCAAACATTTGACAACTTCCTCACTATTGTACACTAATCAAATTTCAAAGATGGTTCGTGTTGGTTCAGCTTACAACCCTAGTTTTCAAAACCCTCCTAAATTTCAGAAATGGAATCGACGGTATGAACAATATATACCCTGCATCAAAGATGGAGAAGCAATGCAACAATGAAGAACAATTGAAAGGGGTAGAGAGCAAGAATAGCTACTGAACTGTTCGAGAGGAAAAGCTGAAAGTTCGACGTTTTAGGGGTTTGGTGTTATTTTTAAGGCAGGGATCAAGAGGAAAATCCACCATTAAAAAAAGTAAGAAAACCCCCACTTTTGAAAAACCCTGGTCATTTTGTGATAGAGATTGTTGTGGTATCTTTTTTAATATAATGGTTATTTATTTATTGGCAGATGGTGAGGGGTCTTTTAGCTGTGTATGAATATATTATGATATGAAAGAATGATGCATTGTGGCTGGATCTTGCTTTTGTTAATTTATCATTGACTCTTTCTTTACACGCCTGTGCCATTTTTCTGGAAAACCCTTGAAATTGTCCCCTCCCCTTTAGTATGCCCGTTCTTTTTTTTCCCCCTCTTGTTTTCACCGTTTCTATTTGGTAATATTCGCTGTTTCGATGATTAATTCTATAATTGTCACATTGTTTCTTTTCTTCTAGTCTATTGTTGACATCGACATTTGGTTTTCAAATGCTTTTTGGTTGCCTCATTTTTTTTCTCCTGCACCGGCACGTTATTTATTATACACACCACAAGTATGATCGACATGTCAGTAGCTTTCTTTCAGGAACAGTTGACTGCAACAGCCAAGAGAACATATTAGTGTGGGAAAGGTTTACCAGGCCATCAATTATCTTTGGTGTATCATTGGAGGTGATGATGGGTGGTGAAAGATCATCTTCCACGGTATTCTTCTACTCCTCGCTCCCCTTCCACATCGATTAGCTTCAGTTTATTCGTGCCAAATTTTCTTTTGTAGAATGTACAACACAGATGGAAAGCAACTTGAAATGTTGCTTGAGGTCTTAAAAGTGGGGTGGTTTGGTTTGGTTTGGTTTGGTTTATGATGATAGCTGCATTTACCATTCCATCATTTGTCAAGAAAAGCATCAATTGAACTATTTTCCCTGCGTAGGTTATGAAACTTCTGAAATTATATGCCAATGAGAAATACATCCTCATGCTGAACTCACAAGGCAAAGACTTAAAAGTATTTGTTTCCTTTAAGGTATTCAAGAAACCAATTCTCATGGAAAATTTTGAGGATTATTTGCTTGTAATGTACTGGCTAGTGGCCAACTCCTAAAAACTTCTTTACAGGTGGGTGCCTCTAGCATGTCAGTCTTACGAAGTATTTGGCAGACTTACTGGCTGGACAAGCACTGGGATAGCACAGAGGGCGTTGTCGATCAGCTTGCACGAAGCCTATCGGAAATGGAAGACAAGTTTAATGACTTTATGCAACTGTTGGAGGGAGGTGGATGGGATACACATCAATTGAGTTTGAAGGTACCAAACAACGTCTTAATCGATTTTTGTTAATTAATCTTGTACTTCTTGGACCTTTGAGGTTTCAAGGGTTCATAAATTTGAAAAGTTTCTGCATCTCTACTATTACCCTTAAAATCAAGATCCTACCTCTACCCCTCTAAATTTCGTCGACCAAATTCTTAATAACAAGTCTAAGGAAGAATTATTGGTTAGAAGGAAGAATTAGGATTGGCATAGGTGCCATGGATGAAATACTAGGGGCATAGGTGCCGACCATATATGTCCCTATTTTGATAGGAAACGATATCAGTATTGAGATCTTTTCAGAACCCTATTTCTTGGAAATATGGTCTTGGCCAATTTTGTGTGACCTAATTCGATGCCTCATCCCATTTTCTTTTTGTTAAATTACGAATTTATAGCATCAACTTTATTGTCGAGTCTAATAAGCCTTTAAAATTTAAAAATATCTAATATCACCGACTTGAACATAAACTCAATTGATTAAAACATATATCATTAACCTACAAATTAGAATTCTTGCATTCTAGTTGAGGATGGAAACGGGATTTCCCCTACCATATATACTTGCTTTTGTTGTTGTCCATGTATACGCAAGTTATTAGACAAACATTTTGTTTTGTATGCATCTAATAAGTACAAAAAGTTTAGGTATTACTTACCATTCTTGTCTCATTTTTTTTATTGTAAGAGATGATGTATATATGTTTTGAGAAATTTTAGTGAGCAGTCTCTTTTGAAATGTGTTTAAAGAGAAGTACACATCATTTTCTATAAATAATAATTGTTAATATAGAGAGTATTTAGATTAAATTAAAAAATTTAGCAAAGGAAGTTGGAATGATTTTATTTAGTTTTAACCGTTGTAATAACAATAAATAGCCTCAATGATAAGACTGATTATGAGGATTTAAGAACTATTTATGAAAGTTAAGTACAGCTTTCAAAAGGATGTATTTGACAATTTTATGTTGGTTATCAAAGGCCAGAACACCCCAGAAAGATTTTAACAATGTATATCACAAAAGCGATGCGAGTGGAGAAGACCATTTAAACAGTAAGGAAGAAGAGATATCACGGAAGTGGCATAGGACATTTCCCATTTTGCACACACAAAAGAACAGAAAGCACGCAAATTCTAAACATATGGACATACATTGACCTGATCCCTCCCTCGATCGGCCTTCCAATTGTCAGAAAGATGCTTTCAGTTTAGTCATCGTCTTCCTCGTTGTCGTCATCATCTTCCTCAGTGTTGTCATCATCCTCTTCATGCTCCTGCAAATAATTGAGTAATTAACATAATTTAGATACAGGAAAGGAAGGTGACCTGTGGGAGGTCGAACCTCTGACCTCTAACCTTTAACTTCTCTGCTCAGGTTGCTACTCATAATTTCATTAATGTACACATACAGAATACCCTATAATCTTAATTTGCTTATTATGAATTGAAATGCACGCAAACAGTCTTCATACAGGCACTGAAGCCATTTGCGTATTATATGTCAAAAATACCTCCTCACTGGCCTCATCCTCGTCATTCACTTCAGATTTCGACCTCTCCGATTCTTCGTCCTCTGCTGCGCTAGCCTATTCCCAGATAAAAGGGTGTATAAGTATAAGCACGCTACCTTAGTGGTCACGTTGCCTTATAACATGATCGATACACAAAAAAACAGAGCACCACACCTACCTTCTTGTCATATGCCTTCATAAGCTTTTCATATTCGGCCTTCCTCTTTGCCGCCTTGGCTTCATATGGTGCTCTTTCCTTTTACGTGAGTAAGGCATTAAATGAGAAAAACCCAACCAGTAAAAAACTGATAAATCCAAAAGGCAAGATAAAGAGTTCGCCTGCTTCCATTTATATGTAATACACAATATTACTTACAGACTGACTCAAGGATTTCCACTTCTGTCCTCCAGCTTTTCCGACCTGCAAGTGTGGAGCAAATGTTAACAATTTATCCTATATTTGCATCTCAAGTTGTGTAAATCTTAAGAACAATTTCAGTGATCACATACTGCAGACACAGACTTCACATTAGGATTTTCCCTTTTGTATTCCTTTCTGAAGTCCTCGCTGTTCATAAAATTTTAACAAATAAGAAATCAAACAAATAGGTTTTAGCCTGAAAACAAAACAGTAAACGACGAATACGAACAGGAAAACAAAGAAAGCACTCGAAGGCCTCTTAGGTTTGTTGGGATCTTTCTTGGCCTTCAAATCTTTCTTTGTTGGTCGTTTGATTCCCTTATCGGCCTTGACAGCAGCCTTTCGCTTCCCAACCTTTCTGTAAAGAATTAGATATATTTATGATCCGTCACTACAAAATTCCTGTAAACACTGTGTACACCACCAAGTATGTGGATATTACACATCAATAGAACTCATTAAACTAGCTGGAAAACACTTATTTCATAACCTAACAATATACAAGGATTTATTTCATCAAACCAATAAGATATGAGATTTGTAGAGGAACAATGAGCAAAACACTACCTATCATCCACTGGTTTCAAAGCTTCTTTCGAGACCTTTGACGTTCTCTTGCCCTTGGACCCCTTCATTCTGCAAGGCAAATACCTGTTGAAAATAATTACAGTGTTAATGATACGCCAAGTTATTACAAGTCCAATAGTTCATAAAACAACAACAACCTACTTGCATAAGAATCACGAGAAGAACAATTTGAGGCAAAATAAGAAAGATCAGTACCTCAAACAGTCCAGACAAGGATCAATAAAACAAGATATCTAACATAAAATACATGCCAAAAAGTGCAGAAATGAAGTGAAAGCAACCTCTAGAAACCATTCTTACAAAAGTCAAAGGAACACTATACATATATGATAAGTAATAATTGATGAACATCCAGAAGCAAACAAATCGAGAAGTATATATTTGACCTTAAAGAGACTAGAATCCTAAATTTCAATTGTAAAGGCCATCTCTCCAAAATTGATGAACTATAATCAACCAGCTACAGGAAATTCACAGTTAAAACTACATACAACAAGGAAAAGTGAACTCAACAGATTCCTGCGTATTGCAGCCATGAAAAATCGACAGTTTAATCGCTAACAGAGCAGATACTGAAAAATAAACCTAAAATGTAATTGAGTCAACACAACTACCTCAATTCTACTACCTCTTTCTTCAGTTCACTCTTTCGCTGAAGTTGTTAAACTACTCCAGTACCAATTATTAAGACTCTAAACAATAGAAAACACAACAAATTAGTTCAACAAAGACAATCTTCCACAAATTAGATGAACCTTGAGAACGCAACAAATCGGTTTCAATCGAATTTTGCAGGCAAAACAAGTAGAAGTAGATGAAAAAAGTGGAACAACCAAGTATAAACAGAGAAGAAAAGAGAAGAGATCTAGGAAGACGAGAATCGATTACCTTCGAGGAACCAAGCCGTCCGATCCAAAAGGAATCGGAAAGGAAACAGAGAATCAATACCAGAGATTTTCCAAAGACCGAGAGAGAAAGAAGAGTTGAGAAAGAACCAGGGGTTGAATTCGAACCCGTGGAGAGGAGGAAATTGATTAGAGCAACCTGAACTACCGGTAACACTTGCCTCTATTGCCGCCACACGAACCCACCAAGAGCGACCTCTTACCGGCTATACCCGGTGACCGACAAACAATTAAAATAAATAAATAAGAAAGAAAGAAAGAATATATGAATATGATCGCAAAGGAATTATCTTTTGGGTTTTGTGGAAATGATGATTGCCGCCGAAGCGATTCCATACAGACAATGACAAAGAGAGATATTATTTTGTCGCACGTGCCACTCTCACACGTGTGTCATTTGGGCCTCCGGCCCAGTGTCTCTCCCACGGTTTCACGCGTGTAAGATTTTGGGCGCACGGCCCAGGTTCCGGATCTTTTGGGCCATCCAACAATCGGCCCATGGGCCATGGCCCATGTATTTTTTGTTTTTTTCTATTATATTATTGATCCGGAAATTTGTGCAATATTATTTTAAATAATATCGGTGTTTTTTCAATTTCTTGGCCCAATATAAATATATTTTCAACACATATTAAAAATAATATATATAATAAATCCGTTAGTTTTGTCATTCTCACTGCATCGTTTCCAATCATTGTCATGTTTACTTGAGTATGACTCAACTGATTAAAATATATTCATCGATCGAAAAATCTTTCTATTAAATAATAAAATCATATTCATTAGATCAAATTCAACATAACCAGTATACTTCGGTTACGATGAATAAAGCATAATAACACAAATAGAAAAAGAATGATTCGATATCACGAGCATACCTCACTAACCTCATACCCGTGCACTTAAAAAAAGGCAAAACACTCATTGCTAGCTACGAACTTCGAGACGGTCTAGAAATTGAAAGAGGGTAGAAAAGAAAGGTGTGTTGGCTTTAGAATGGTGGCCAATCTTGCATTGCATAAGTAAGATGTTGACTAAGATATGCAAATAGGAACGTCTCTTTCATTTACAGACACATTTGATCACTATGAGTTCCCTCTTTGTCTGCCATAAACCCTCCAATCCCCATTACCCACTCAAAATCTAGTGCCTTTCCAATATATTCCTATTTTATTCGTATCATCTTTCAACTTAGGTTTCAATACAGCTATATTTCAAGAAACTTAGTTAGTGTAGCGATGTTGTGAGACCCCATATCGGTTGGGAGAAAAACGAAACATCCTTTGTAAGAGTGTAAAAATCTCCTCGTAGCAGATGAATTTTAAAAACTTTGAGGGAAAACCTGAAAGGAAAAGTCCAAAGAAGACAATATCTGCTAGCGGTGGACTTCGGCAGTTAAAGGTGTGTTGACCATAATTTAACATTAACTAATAATTTAATACAATATCAAAAGATTTTGAGTTTAAACTTAATATTTATTTTCACGTACCGTACAATCTTCTAGAAAAATTTATGAATCAAACTAGATATTTTGAAGGTCCACTCAAACTAAACATTAGATTATAAACCCAAAAGTAATTCATTTGTAGCCAAAAGTGGAGAAAAAGAAGGAAGAAGGATTTGATTACTAGATCTCATTTGGGTGGGTATTTAGTCCAAGAGGTTGTCGACGAGTTTAGTGGAAAAAGA